TCCACTGCTTGCAACACTCACTCACTCCCATTGCTGTCCCCTAAATCGCTGCGCTTCACATTCTCACAGATCACCATTTTCTTGCTACAGATTGACATTTCTTCTGTGTCCTGTGTTACAAGTGTGATAATACAAAGTATAGCAAGCTTTTTATTAATTGGCACCTATGGGACTAGAAGTGTGCCGGTTGATCAAATATTCCAGATAATCAAGATATATGCACAATTGCAGTAAATCCTGACCAAATGAAGCTTCGAGACATTAACATCCTTCAAAAAGTCAATGTAAAACATCAACACACCTAAAATTGATGTAAAAACACAGTAAGTAATCGAAACGTAATGTATGGGGTATACACATCACTGTTATAATTTATTTACAGCATCAATACTCAGACACCGTGGTAGATCATGGTATTTGAAGTATATAATTGTTGCCGCTTTATCAAAAGTGCTGGTTGATACAGTGCTGGTTGAAACAAAGTTTATTGTACTTCATTGGCTGTAACCTGCATTTAGACAACCTGTGACTTATATAACTGTGAACAAGTCTGTACAGATGCAAGTCTTCCTTTTTCTCACAGTCATGTTTTTGATATTGATTAACAGATCAATAGAAGAGGAGGAATGCAGTGATCAAGAAAATGCAGAGTTACCTGCTGGAGAGACAGGGGGTATGTGTCGGTTTACACTCCAGACTAACTGGGGAGTTCATGGGTATATTATGTCACCTAACATTGTTGGCCCTCACTCCCTCTTGACACTTTGTGGTATTACTGGTAGGCTTTTTCTGGCTCTCCTCCTGTCATCGGAGGGACTGTACAGTAAGCAAGCAGGTTGCAGGCTCAAACAAAATAACGAGCATGCAATGACTGTGCAATTAGGCCTGAGGCTAATGTGTGTGTGTGTGTGTGTAGCTTGAGTGTTTAAGCTGGTCCAAGCTGATAGACAGCAGGTGGACAAGGAATTAGAGGCTCATGGGACTGCAACTTATCAGCGGCTGTATGAAAAGAGGAGAAAAAAATGTGTGAAAGAGGGAATGTGCGCGGCAAGAAGCCCTGCCAAAGACATACAAAACCATGGTTAGACTGTGATGAAATTTTTCAAAAATTTGAGTCAGATTTTTCAGGAATGATATTGCAAAACATAAAGGGTGGTAGAAGTTCAGAACTCACTTTAGGAAATGGCAGTTGATATGGGCCAGTTGTTCATTTTAAATCTGAGATTTTTGTCATCCAAAAGTTTAAAGGGATGTGATATATAAGGCAGGTATATAGATCATTGAACAGAGAGACTGAAATGCCATCTTTCCATTGCTGTGCCTTTTTGTATATGCAATTTTGTACATATATATAGAATCTCTTTGACCATTGGCTGCATTTTGACCTCTCTCTTATTCAACCTATTATTTATTTGGTGCATTATATTGTTTTGTACTAATCCATGATTCATTCTGTTGCCTCCTCTTCTCCACTTCCTTGTTTTTAGGTGCTGTCAGTGACTGAGCTGCAAACAGGTATGTGACTCGGTCTGTTTATATTCAGCAGATGACAGACTGGTGTTGTGCTTGTTCTCCCCCCACCCACCCTTCATCCGTGCTTTCCTGTCATACCATTTATCTACCCTGCTGTGATCGCTGTGGAGAAAGCATAAACCACATTTACCAGGTGACTTGGAGTGAAGAAATTACCAACAAGGTTTTACTTTTTTAGCTTTTAATGTGAGAACAATCAGAACCAATACAAAATATACATGAATTAACAGGAAAATTACAATAGAAAGGTAATTTTCAATGTAAACAATCATTACAATGCAGGTACATCTCAGGCAAAATCAAGCACCTACTTTACTCCGAACTAATGTGCCTCCATGTTCAATCTCAGACTTCCAACTCAATTGATTGGCCCTTGACTTGCATCTCTGGTAGGTGTATTCCATCTAAAGTCCCTGGGTAAAGTTAAAACTGACAAGGCACACATCTGCCACTCTCTCTCCTCTCTGGCCATGTCAATCTTGGGTGGCACGGTGGCTCAGTGGTTAGCACTGCTGCCTCACAGCACTGGGGACCCGGGTTCAATTCCACCCTCTGGCGACTGTCTGTGTGGAGTTTGCACAATCTCCCTGAGCCTGCGTGGGTTTCCTCCGGGTGCTCTGGTTTCCTCCCACAGTCCAAAGATGTGCCAGGTTGGTGGATTGGCCATGCTAAATTGCCCGTAGTGTTCAGGGATATGTAGATTATGTGGGTTATAGGGGGATGGGTCGGTGTGGACTTGTTGGGCCGAAGGGCCTGTTCCCACACTGTAGGGATTCTATGATTCTTGTTGGCACAGTTTTTGAGAGTTCCTTTTTAACTGAATGATCAATAGTACCTTGTTCATGATTTGGCCCTCTGGTACAAACTCTTAACAATTTTACATGCTTAGGTTATGTCCATCACTTTTTAGAATTTCATCTTTTTTTTAAGCTCTCTTGTACATTGCTTCTGTAAAACCTTTTAGAATTCTGTTTTTCTTTTCACTCTAGACAGAAAATCAGCCTTTTCATTGGGAGCTTTACTGTCTTCTCCTGATACAAATTTGTGTTCCTATTTCTGTCTTTGTTATTTCTTTGGTTGCACTTGTATGCCGATTGCCTTCTGTTCACAACCATCATGTGCCTTGTAACTCTCCCTTATATCTGCCAGTCTCAACACAGCTTCTGTGTTTTAACTTGCTTCCTGTTGGTACTGATTCCAGGTCAAAAATTGCCAGTCTTATGGATCATTAATTCCTACTACCAAGAAAATTACAGTTGATTCCTTTACAATTGATGCAAACTCTTCAAGGTCCTTTACAAACATCATTATAGATAACAAGATGTAGAGCTGGATGAACACAGCAGGCCAAACAGCATCAGTGGAGCAGGAAAGCTGATGTTTTGGGTCTAGACCCTTCTTCAGAAATGGGGGAGGGGAAGGGGATTCTGAAATAAATAGGGAGAGAGGGGGAGGCGGATAGAAGATGTACAAAGGAGAAGATAGGTGGAGAGGAGACAGACAGGTCAAAGAGGTGGGCGTGGAGCCAGTAAAAGTGAGTATAGGTGGGGAGTTAGGGGGGATAGGTCAGTCCAGGAAGGACGGACAAGTCAAGGGGGCGGGATGATGCTGATAGGGGGTGGGGCTTGAGGTGGGAGGAGGGGATAGGTGGGAGGAAGGACAAGTTAGGGAGGCGGGGACAAGCCGGGCTGGTTTTGGGATGCGGTCGGGGGAGGGGAGATTTTGAAGCTTGTGAAATTGATACCATTGGGCTGCAGGGTTCCCAAGCGAAATATGAGGTGCTGTTCCTGCAACCTTCGGGTGGCATCGTTGTGGCACTGCAGGAGGCCCAGGATGGACATGTTGTCTAAGGAGTGGGAGGGGGAGTTGAAATGGTTCGTGACTGGGAGGTGTAGTTGTTTGTTGCGAACCAAGCGTAGGTGTTCCGCAAAGCGGTCCCCAAGCCACCGCTTGGTTTCCGTGATGTAGAGGAGGCCACATTGGGAACAGCGGATACAATATACCACATTAGCAGATGTTGGGTGGCTGGCTCCTAGTGTACTATTCAGGACAGGTACAGCATGACTTAAATACAGAATAAAACTCCTTTCGTCCAGAGAACAATTCTGAATTTAACTGCCCTGCACTGCCTAAGTGTAAACTGTTTCCAGTTCTGACTCTGCCATTCTTTGCTAGTTCTGTGCAGGAACTGGATTGAAAGTGTCTGACATTTACTTCAGGACCCTCCAGATTGCAGCCAGAGGAGACTTCATTGTGTTGGCTTGGGCAGGATTTGAACCCAGTGCAAGAGATGGAAGTGGAAAGTCTGATCCTGTGCCCTTCCATCTTCATGCCTCCATTTTGTAAATTAATTTGCAGTTGCTTGATCCTTATCTCCTGGGCTGGCTACCCTCTTTCTATTCTGAGTCTTTAGCCATTATGGTGTGGATTTATGCTACATTCCAAAGTGGCTATATGTTTGACTTTCATGGGGTTTTGTCATAGTTGACTCCAGTAATCTCATTATCCCAGGTTGTCTCTTTTTATTAAATACACTGTTAACCCTCCTGGGGCGAGGTGTTTGATAGTAACTGGCAATAACTCTGAGGTTTTGCCACTCTTTCAGTCAGTGCTTGTGTAAAGAAAAATGTGGGCTGGTTTACCTGCAATGATCACCTTGAACTGCTGTTAAACCGAGTGTCTGACACCTTCAGTCACCTGTTGAAGTCCGAGAACATAGGCAACAGAGACTGGACTCGGCTAACTGTCAAGGTGAGGCATTTCCATTGGTTATCCTTTTTGATGTTGTTATAGTTGCTATAGTTTAATATGTTGATTGCCAGTGTCGAGACTTCTTTCACAATAAGCAGTCTCCTATTCAGTGTCAGTTGCCTGTGTACCTGAGGTGGAACGTAGACTCTCACTACCATTCACAAGGACACTCCTGAGTTAACAGTTAAAGGTTATGTTTTTAATGTTTCAAAGATTTATACATAAAATTTGTGAAGTTATAAACTAAATGTTACATTTTTTGTTCAAAAGAGGATACAAGGATAAATCCAAAAGCTCCAGGCCAGCTAGTTTCACTCTGGTAGTAGAGAAACTTCTGGAAATGATGATAATTTGGGATAACGGTGACCTTCAAGCAAACGCAGATTTGTTAAGGGATGCCAGGATTTGTTAAGTCAAATGTTTAACTATTTTTCTTGGGTTTTTTGATGAGCTACCGACGAGTGTTTAAGGAGAATAATTGAAGTGATGGACATGAAACCATTTGATAGAGTGCCACATAATATGCTTGCCAGCAAAGTTGGTGGTTAAGGGATATAAAGGGCAGTAGCAGCCTCAATTGGAATCGGACTGTGACAGGAGATAGATAATACTGATGAACAGTTGTTTTTCAGACTGGAGGAAGGTTTCTCGTAATCTTGCCAGGAGTTAGGGTCAGGACTTCTACTTTTCCTTATCTATATTAATGATGTTGAGGTTGTTGAAGTTGGTTGGCTCACCGAGCTGGTTTCTTGTTTCGCAGACGTTTCGTTACTATGCTTGGTAACATCCTCAGTGCAGCCTCCGATGAAGCGTCGGTGTGTTTTCCTGCCTGGTTTTTAAACTCTGGGGTCCGTTGAGATGGATTGCCTTACTTCCGGTTTTCCTTCGTAGTGGAATGTATATGGGGTCGAGTTCAATGTGTTTATTAATAGCATGCTTCGTGGAGTGCCATGCTTCTAGGAATTCTCGTGCCTGTCTCTGCCTAGCCTGTCCCAGGATCTTGGTGTTGTCCCAGTCGAAGTGGTGGTTCTCCTTGTCCATGTGGATTGAGATGAGTGAGTAAACCAAGCATGGTAACGAAACGTCTGCGAAACAAAAAACCAGCTCGGCGAGCCAACCAACCTCAACACCCACAACCCGAGCTACAAATCTACTCCAAAATATTAATGATCTAGATCATGGTGCCTGGGATATAATTTCAAAATTATCAGATGGCTCAAAACTTGGAAGATTTTTAGACATTCTGGTGGAATTTTGGAAATGGGGCAGATGAAACTGAATACAGAGAAGTTTGAAGTGATTCATCTTTGCAGGAAGAATGAGGTGAGGCAGTATAAAATGAAGGGCACAGATTCTGAAAATAACCATTCCATGATTATGTGATGTGTGTATCTCATGTGCAGGAATGAACATTGTCACAATTTACTGACATAGCTTGCTAAAAATCAAGCCCCGCTATACCTGAAGTCATCACAGAAGTCAAAGACATTTTGAAAAGGAGACACAAAGATTCCTCAGTTCACTTGATTTCTAGGCGCAGTTGATAGAAAGCACAGACCAGATTTCTGTCCTTAACAAGAATTATTATTCATTGCAAGTAATTGGACTCTAGCTACAGATAAACAATATAACTCTGATCCTATTGTAAACTCCCCCTCTCTCTCTCTCACACAGATATAGATGGGGGAAAGAGAAATGGATAGAAGGAAAACTGGGAAAGCAGTTCAGTCATCTTTGTTCATAACATCTGTTGAGTTGGTTCTTGCTGATCAGAAGGTTTGTTCTCAACCTTCCTTCTCTGGATGCTTCCACTGATTTGCAAGAGCACTGGTTCACTTATAAAAGGTCTCTGACTTATCCATTCAGTGTTGCGGCAGCTGCTAAAGCAACGTTTTAAGACCCAGGGAGAGCAAACCAAACCAAATCAGCCTCACTATCATTGGATTTTCAAACAGTTTCAGTGACCCTTAAGATTACTCAATTGTCCCAAACTCCCATATTTTACAAAGAACAGATCTTGGACAACAAGTTAATAACTTAAAACAAAAATTACCAATTTCTTATTAAGAATGCAACTTTAGCAGAACAGAGATAAACTACAAGATAATCTAGATCATTGAATCCCTACAGTGTGGAAACAGGCCCTTCAGCCCAACAAGTCCACACTGACCCTCAGAGCATCCCACCCAGACCCATCCTCCTATAACCCACCTAATCTACACACCCCTGAACACTATGGGCAATTTAGCATGGCCAATCCACCTAGCCTGCGCAGATTTGGACTGTGGGAGGAAACCAGAGCACCCGGAGGAAACCCATGCAGATACGGGAGAATGTGCAAACTCCACACAGAAAGTCGCCCGAGGGTGGAATTGAACCCGGGTCCCTGGCATTGTGAGGCAGCGGTGCTAATCACTGAGCCACCGTGCTGTGCTGTACAATTAATAGCTATGATTTAAACTCAACTTTCTTTAATCATAAATACTCCATTCATACACCAATCAACAGACAGTTAGACACAGCTGAAAGACAAATTAAGAAAGAAAATAAAAGAATTTGCCAGTTCAATATCTATTTCAACATTAGTCTTCAGGCCTTTGTGAAATCCTTGGATGATGGATTACATTACTGGCTTTTGCTGGAAATCCAAAGTCACTGGTCAATGCAAACAGCATCCGCAAACTCCTGGAGACTTTGACTTATTTCTTATCTTCTAGGATTCTTTGTCTCAGAACATTCAAAAAGTCAGTAACTGGAGAATAACTAGAGAGGACAAAACCCAAAAGTACAGTCCCAGTCCGGGAGCTTCAAAAGCAATACTGCATCCTGCCCAAAACCATTGTTCACTCAATGTGTTTTTTCCCTATGTTTCCCAACATTCACTATGGTTGTTTGGTTAGCACCAGCCCTCTCTTGATTAACCGATTCAACATTCAATTAGCTGCCAGTCCCTGAGCACAGTATCATCCTGGTGCCAGGTTGTTCGTAGTGTCCTGAGAGCAGTAATTAACCTGCATTATGTTTGTAAGCCAGTTACACACAGCAAAGAAGTATTGACTGACCTTTTGGAGAAACTTACACTTGGATGGTTTGATTTTCTTTTGTTGTTCTCCACAATTGCACGCATAGAAGGAGAGTTTTTTTTAACATCACAAAGGAGATATTTTTAAACCGTGGAGTAGCTTTTTTTTAATTGGAGTTGTGTTTACGGAGTTTTTTGGAGAGGTCTAAATGTGAATGGCTCTGGAATGACATTTTATTTTATCAGAAGATTGGCAAACCCGAAACACTACACGTGTAGTGTCTCCCACCCATCCTCCTCCTCTAACCAAAAAAAAAGACTGTGTGGAAGGTCGGTAAGGTAAGGCTTTTGTTTTATTCTTCTGGAAATCTAGAGTAGAGGGAATGGAAGCTAGGGCAGTTGCATGCTCCTCTTGCAGGATGTGGGAGGTAAGGATCACTGCTGGTGTCCCCTCTGACTTCACCTGCGAGAAGTGCATCCAACTACAGCTCCTCAAAAACCAAATTAGGGAACTGGAGCTGGATGAACTCCGGATCATTTGGGAGGCTGAGGTGGTGATAGAGAGGAGTTATAACGAGGTGGTCACGCCCAAGACGCAGGAAAAATGGGAAAGGGAATAGGCAGACAGTGCAGGGATCCCCTGTGGCCGTTCCCCTCAATAATAAGTATGCCGTTTTGGATACTGTTGGGGGGATGACTACCAGGGGAAGGCCATAGCGGACAGGTCTTTGGCACTGAGCCTGGCTCTGTGGCACAGAAGGGAAGGGGGGAGAATAGGAGAGCAATTGTAGTGGGGGACTCGATAGTAAGAGGCACAGACAGGCGGTTCTGTGGACGCAAACGAGATGAATGGATGGTATGTTGCCTCCCGGGTGCCAGGGTCCGTGATGTCTCGGATCGTGTCTTCAAGATCGTTAAGGGGGAGGGTGAGCAACCAGCAGTCATGGTACACATTGGTACCAATGACATAGTTAGAAAAAGGACAAAGAATGTGAAAAACGAGTACAGGGAGTTAGGTTGGAAGCTGAAGTCCAGGACAAACAGGGTAGTTATCTCTGGATTACTACCAGTGCCACATGACAATGAGATAAGAAATAGGGAGAGAGTGCAGCTAAACACGTGGCTACAGGGCTGGTGTAGGAGGGAGGGCTTCCATTATGTGGATAATTGGAGCACATTCTGGGGAAGATGGGACCTGTACAGTAAGGACGGGTTGCACCTGAACCGGAAGGGCACAAATATCCCGGGAGGGAGATTTGCTTGAGCTATGCGGGTTGGTTTAAACGAGATTGGCAGGGGGTGGGGAACCGGATTTGTAATTCAGAGGATGAGGTATTCAGCCTTCCAACAGACATAACAGGGAGTGAGGTTGTTAATAAAGAAATGCGGTCGATGGCGCGTAATTGTGGACACAGAGATGGTTTGAGGTGTGTATAGTTCAATGCTAGAAGTATCAGAAATAAAGCGGATGAACTTAGAGCATGGGTCACTACTTGGAACTACGATGTTGTGGCCATTACAGAAACTTGGGTAACTCGGGGAGAGGAATGGTTGTTGGAAGTTCCGGGATTTAGATGCATTAAAAGAAATAGGGAGGGTGGTAAAAGAGGCGGGGGAGTGGCATTGCTAGTCAAGGCGAGTATAGCAGCTACTGAAAGGCAGTTCGAAAATGATATGTCTACAGAGTCAGTTTGGGTTGAGTTCAGGAACAAGAAAGGAGCAGTCACTTTGTTGGGGCTTTTTTACAGACCCTCTAATAGTTGCAGAGAAGTAGAGGAGCGGATTGGGAGGCAGATACTGGAAAGGTGCAGAAGTCACAGGGTTGTAGTCATGGGTGACTTCAACTTTCCAAATATTGATTGGAAACATTTTAGTTGTAATAGTTTAGATGGAGCAGATTTTGTCCAGTATGTTCAGGAAGGATTCCTGACACAGTATGTAGATAGACCAACACGAGGAGAGGCCACTTTGGATTTGA